AAAGGAATGAATGGTGTGATCATTAAAACCGATACCCGTAGTGGGGTAGTTCTAGGACTATGAGTTCCGTTGAACCCTAGTCCAACTTGGTGCTAAGTCTACTTCAAACTTAACATATGATACATTATATATGAAATATAGAATATCTCAAAAAACTGACATACAAATCTGAGAATGGAACAATTATATACTAATAATGTGACATTCAAACTAAAGAATGTATATATGTTTTACTGACTTAGCAAGTGTAATCCATAAACTAAGATAATCCACACAACGAGGGATCTGAGTTTCGTGCAAAGAACTAAAAAAATATTCCACGAAAACATGATAATCTTATTAGGAATACTCTAACAGCTAAATCACAACTACTATCTATGGTTTTAGAAACCTAAATCTAAGCAAGATATAGTGAACCAAGAATCTGACTAAATTCAAAGGACCTAATGGATCAAAGTACTCCACCAGTGAAATCCCTCATGCTTGGTGATAAAATTCATGGAGAAATATTTTAATTTTAGGGCTAGAAATTAAGAAATATTGTCGCATTCTTGGATATGTTTTGAGACGCCTCTTTCTCCTCTTTTGTTCTAAACTTTGTGAATTCTAGAGTATAATGGTTTAGGGTAAAATTTGACTAGAATAATAGTCTAAAACTCAAGAAATTAAGTAGTTTAGGTATGAAATAATTAGGAAAGAGACTCAACTACCTCGATATAAAAAGTCGATTGGCCCATCGACAAAGCTGGCTAACGGGCTGTCAGTTGACTGATCATCCGTCCTGCCAGTCATCGTTTGGCTGTTAGAGAGATGAAATATGGGTTTTGAAATGAAAAGTAAACTAAACCATCGATGGAGGTGACTAACAAGCTGTGAGTTGACTAATGGTCCATCCTTTCAATCATCGTTCAGTTGTCAAAGGACTAAAATCTATGTTATGAAGTTAAAAGGTTATTCGCCAATCGATAGAGTTGACTGACGAGTCGTGAGTCAACTGATGGTATGTAGGTGGCCGTCTTCAGTGGCACCTATAACATCAAAAAAATATGGAATTTTTCCTTCCTTGAGTCTGGGGTGTTACAATATCTCCCTTTGGGAATATTCGTCCTCCAATGAAGACTTAACTAGCTTGGTATGGAGGGACGAAGCTGCAGTCCCTACTACTAAGTACTAGAGATCGATATCTGACTGAACTGAATTCAAAGAACATGAAAATATGGTGAAAATGCAAGAACAGCTTAAGGAACAAGGTACTAATACAGAATTTACACATGAGTAAACTGAAAGACTGGAGAGGAACTGTTGTCTCCAGCTGAAATAAAATTGGAAGCAAAGCGATGAGGATACTTGGCCTTTATGGTTGCTTCTGCTTCCCATGTAGCTCCCTCTACGGACTGACTCCAAACTTGTCAAATCTCATCACCCCCTTCATAGGTGATACTTTCTGGAAAACCCAATCATCTATCCCAAACTCTACATTCCTTTTTTTCTTTATCTGCATAGGACTTCTGTCTTAAGTTTATTTTTAACAAGATGGACTTTTTCCTATATCTTAATAAACTAAATACGGCCTAATCAAGGTTGCTTCATCTACTCATCCATCTTAGGAATACATAAGTGAGCATCACCCCTTTAATAGTAAGCCTCTACTTTCTATTTATAGACTACACCATCCAACTGAAGCAGTATAGGATCACTCTATATTTTATTTTATCCTCCACTACCAATGGAAATTCTGATATATTCTGAACTATCACACCACCATCTGATGTGTATGACTAAATCCTAAGCGACCATGCCGATGAACATATTTTTCTAATTCCTTCCCTGTTTCCTTAAATTACATCACAATACCCTTTAGAGATTAACTTTATGGCCTTAAGGTAAGAGATAATTCAACCAATAGGCATTGAGATACTACCCTTCTATTCTAATATTAGCTTGTTTTGGAGTTGAACGATCCTAGTTTTACAATCAATTGAGGCACATTAGGGATGTAACCAATACATGCCTAGAATGATATCAAAGTCTGCAATTTCTAACTCTACATTATCTACTAAGGTGACTATCAAAGAGACTGGTGACAGGGCAATTTTGTATACCCATCTTGTTATAACTGGGTCACAAACTTGGGTAGAGACTGAGAAGGGTTTTGAAAGATATTCTAGACTGACACGTAAGATTACTGCTATAAGGAGAGTTACAAAGGTAAGAGTAGCCCTTGGATTTAACAAAGCATAAACATCTGAGGAAAAACTCGAATGGTACCAGTGATCTGAAACACATAACGTCAAATTAGAAATGAGAAGTTGAATCATACCTTACGCACAACAAGAGTAGCAAGAAAGTGAAGTTTTCCTAAAACACTTTGAAGTCTCCATCTCATTAGATATGGTGCCCTTCACACCCATGAAAAGAACCCTACTTAATGCGGATTTTAGACATCCTAAGATTCTTAAACCTAATGCTCTGATACTAAGTTTGTCATGCCTCTAGGCTACCCCGTGAGCGTAAACATGGGGCCTAGGATCATGATATACCCGACATATCATAAGCAAACTAAAAAAATCTATAAAAAGATAAATTGATGTGGAAGCTAAATCATGAGATAGTTGAATCATGGGGAATACACAATACTATTTTTAATATATATAAAAGTCTAAGAGTTCAGTGATATTGAACAATCACTCAAAAGTTAACATTGAATCTAAACTATGTCCTAAAAAGTCTCTAACTAACTAGAGTTGTTGGGACATGTCCCAAGTAACCCTAGCAAAATTGAAACTAAAATGAAAGACAAAATCGGAAAATATGTTTATTATCCTCAAAGTATGAGGACTCATCACAGAAGCTGTTGAATGTTGATTGGGAACCGATCTACGCGTGATCAAGATCTTGAGGACTTGAACTTACATCATGAAAATATGTAGTGTAGAGTATGTGTCAGTACTTGGAAGGCATTGTGCATGCAGGATAGGATAAAATATGAAAAAAAACGTATTAGGTGAACAAAGCATAAGTTAGCAATAACATAATCTTAACATGAATGTAAATATTGAGATACACTAAAAAGAACTAAACTGCATGCAATAAAAAAGTACATAACATGCTGAGACTGAATACTAAAGTATAATTAGAAACCAGGTCAAATGCACAAGAGTCTGACTATGGGAGCTAATATTGAACGACATAAAACCATATGAACTAAACATGGAGTCTCATGTATACGCCTCATCAAGAGGACCCGATATACCTTGCCAGAGGTATAAAGGCATGAATGACGTGATCATTAAAACTGATGCCCACAGAGGGGACTTGTAAACCTAGGGGGCACATCATTTTGACACTTTGAGGGTACGCTGAACCCTAGTCCAACTTGGTGCTAAGACTACTCCCAAATGAATATGTATATGATACATTATGATTGAAATATTGAATAGCTCAAAATACTGATATGCAAATATGAGAATGCAACAATTATATATTGATAATGTGACATTCGAAAAATTAAAGCATGTATACATGTTTAAATGACCTAGAATGTGTAATTTATTAACTAAAAGAATCTACACAAGTAGGGTTCTGAGTGTTATGCAAAGAACTAGGCAATGATTCCATGAAAACATAATTATCTGCTTAGGAATACTCTAATAGCTAAATCAAAACTACTATTTAAGGTTTTAGAACCCTAGGTCTAAGAGAGATATAACGAATCAAGAATCTAACTGAATTCTAGGGACCTATGGATGAAAGGAATCTACCAGTGAAATTCCACAAATCTGGTGACAAAATTCATGGAAAATAATGCAATTTTGGGGCCGGAACTAAAGAAAACTTGTTGCACTTTTGGAAGGGTTTTGTGTCGCCTCTTTATCCTCTTTTTTTCTAAGTTTTGTGAACTCTATAGAATAATGGTTTAGGGTAAAATCTTACTAGAATAATAGGCTAAAAATTTTCAAAACAAAGTAGTTTAGGGATAAAATAATTAGGAAAAAGACCCAATTACCCCTAAATAAAATTTGGCTGCCCATCGATAAAGTTGAATGACAGGTCATAAGCGACTGATAGCCCGTCCTGTCAGTCCTTGTTTGGCAGTTAGAGGGCTGAAATCTGGCTTTCTGAAACTAAAAGTCTATTGTCCCATCAACAAAGCTGATTGATGGGTCGTGAGTCGAATAATAGTCTATCCTATCAGTCGTTGTTTCGCTATCTGGGAGCTGAAATCTGGTTTCTAAAACTAAAAGTTGGTTGACCCATCGACGGAGCTAACTGACTGGCCTTGAGTACACTGACGATCCGTGGTGACCTCCGTCAGTAGCACCTACAACTTTTGAAAATCTGGAATTTTTCCTTCCTCGAGTTTGTGGTGTAAAAGTTCACCTCCGTGGGTGGAACCTGCATATTCTTGAAATCAATTATCTTACACTCTTTCGGATCCGAGTTGTTACAATGCCTCAAGACTATAAATGTCAGCTAAACAAACTACAAAACTTACTGTCTACTGTAACTAACTGAGGATCATGTGTGGAATCCAGGTGGTCAACCATATCATATTTAGTGAAGTTTGGAGGTGCTTTAGTGTCTTGGAAATCTAAGAAGAGAGAAAAAGTGTCAAGAAGTGCACCTGAGGCAGATTCAGAAGCATGGCTACTTGTGCTGCTGAGATCGATAACTTGGTTATTAGGCTTATACAAAGAGCTAGGAGTTAGTGTTAATCTTCATGTGCATATGATGCATGACAATAAGGCAACCATTCAAATAGCTGCTAATCTAATCTTTCATGAGATAACTAAACACAGAGACATTGATTGCCACTTTATAAGAGAGAACTTGTCAAGGATTGTTGAAAACCAAACACATCAACTAGCTAATTATTGACTAAAGGTTTGGGAACGGCACAAATAACTTTCTGATGAGTAGACTTGGAATGACAAATGTGTTTCAACCATAAGCTTGAGGATGAGTATTAACTAATGTAAACGGTTAAGCAAGCTATATGGTTGAGTTAGTTAACTAATGAGATATAGTTAGTTAGAAATATGTGTAGTTGGCATTAGTTGGTTCCTGAGTCATATTGACTAGCATAAATACATAATGTTTATAGGTTCAATGTGACAAGTATGACGATTCAATCAATGTGATCATTTCTTCTTCCTCTCTTCTCTTACTGTGAAGTTTAACCTCCAGGTATGGAGCTATCACTATTCACTTCCGTCAGGAGTAACGAGGTACCAAGTAATTTTGTCCACCAAAGTTACAACAGATGAAATGAATCACCTAATGTTTTAATCTCCACTGGGTAGTAGACAAGTATTTTATACCCAATAAATCACCAACTCTGCCGATAACCTGGACAAAGCAACGACTTGTCAGTAACTAGTCAACATCTACATTGCTTTTCTTTCTCGTAAGATATTACTACATTGGCCAATGAGACAATATTCTCGCAAGAATAAATAATTGCGACACCACTACACATTTGCCCCTAATATGATTATTGTATGAGTTGGAAATACGTAAACATAACATAAAGCAAGCCATCTCAGTGTTTCAGTATTCTTTTTTTTCCCTCACGGAGATTATATATGACCAGGTCGTTATTATTCACGATGTAGTTTCTCAAAACCCATCCACCACCCTAGGATGGATTTGGGAAAAGGTGAAAAATATATCAAGTCTAGCATTTAAGTTTATGTTTGGCCGTGGATATTTTTCACCTATTTGCAGAATATTATTCCAAAAAAAGTGGTTGGACATAGAACTGTTACAATTCTTCAAAATTCAATAAACTGTTTTCACGTCAAATCACTAATAAAAATTCATAAACAACTTCAATTTGTATGCATGCCCAAATGGAAAATACAATAATTATCAATTTTATTTTTTTCCAAATTTCACAATTTTAATGTTCAAACGCCCACATAGATGGCAGAAATGTATGCGTGACATATCTTTCTGCTGAAAAACTGAAAAATGACCAACTTATCCTAATATGGTGTACAAAAGTTCAAATGAATGTAGAGGCAGATCAAAGCCAGAATTTATGGATCCAATTGTACCCAGCCCATTGAGTCTACAAGGTAACAATTATTATCAACCATTAATGGTAAATGTCAAATTAACAAATGAATTCAACCCATATTGGTAACATCCCGGTTTCTCTTAAGTAAGAAGTAAGTCAAGTTCCATTAGCTCCTCTAACTTGTCAGTATGTGATGCATTAAGTTGATAGTAAAAGAAGAAAATGGAGTAGAAAAAAATTCGAGTGAAAAGCATGCATGTGTATGAATTTGAAGTTCATGATAATTAACGAGGGTATAGCGCTTAAGAGAAGGAAAAGAAATTGAAGAGCAAGCTCTAACCTCCAATGCTTTGATTAGATCTTCCTTTGAGTGGGCAGCAGAAATACATATGCGTGCTCTGGCCAAAAGTAAAGGGGTGGCTGGAAAAGCAACTACCACAACGGCTACCTAAAGTAACAGACCATGCATTGAGTCTTAAGAGATCAGATAGATACAAGTCGGATCATGTTCTTTTCACATAAAGGTAGATAAGGATAAAGAGAAGAAACTGTACATTCTGTTTCAGACACTCTCGTGAAAAAGCTGGTAATTTTGCAATATTATAGAGCATTATGGGCATCACAGGTGAATCATAGTCACCCAGAACATCAAACCCCATCTTCTGCAGTTCAGACCGGAAGAAGTTGCTATTTTCACGTAGGCGTGCTATTTTTTGAGCTCCTATAAAAATGAATTCAATAATGGTTTACGAGTAGTCAGAATCTGAAAGGAACATAGAATTACAAGAAAAAACTTTTTACCTCTTTTTGAACCATCTTCACCAAGCAAAACCTTAATAGCAGAAATGATTTGTTGAGCAGCTGGAGGTGATATGGATATTGCATATACATGCGCAGGACAAGTATACTTCAAATATTCAATGACTTCCTGACATTGTCATCTTAATGTTACAGCCATCTACCAAACAAAAATCTCAAAAGTGGAAGGTAAATTACAATAGAAGTACGTAGTAAATAAGTTTCCACTTTTTAATGGTTTATTGTCAGTTTCGAACATGATATTGTTCTAAGTCCATTATGATCCTTTACCGGAGTGCAAAGTAGATAGATATATATATGAAGGTGTGGAGGACACAAACTAGGGTAGAACATCATAAAGCTATGGTTGTAGTTCGAAGGTAGTATTATTTTGTTGTGTTATTGTTCTGCTGCTATATATGTCGTTTAGTATCTCTTGTATTTTCTTACTTTTTTTAGTCCGTTTTTGACTTGATCTACGGAGCTATCGAAACAACCAGCTCTAAGGTAGAAGTAAGGTCTGCTAAGTAAACTTTCCCTTCTACAAACCCCATACACTGGGTATATTAATGTTGCTTTAATTGGGTAATTATTATTAATTAAGAGTAGAATGAAAAGATGATAATATAAAATAGTATAGCCATGATAAATCTGTTGACACTCCAAAATAGCACAGCTAGGTTACATGTTCAATTTCATGATGTAATTTAAGTAGATAATCATACGATTAAATAAATCATTATATTTTGTTTTTCTTGAATCATTTGCATCAAACTAGTAATGATATATAAAGCTAGTTTAGTAGCCTACCTTGGATCCTGCAATATAACCCCCACAGGATCCAAATGCCTTAGTGAAAGTTCCCATCATAATATCGACATTTGCAGTATCAATTCCCAATAGCTCACATACCCCCTTTCCTATTTTACCAACTGCTCCAATGCTGTGAGCCTCGTCCACATATACATATGCCTGCGTCAAGAAGATCAAAGACGCATGAGAAATACGTTATATTTATATAACAAATCCAAAAATGTATGTAATAGAAATATAGTCTTTCTTTCTGATAATGAAACCCTAAAGTGAAAGATGGTTAGTGTATTAATAAGAAGTTGAAGTTGTTCTTCTTGTTCTTAAGGAAAATCAATTAAGATGAAAATAGTTTCAAAGAAGTAATTAAGTACCTTGTACTTCTTGCATATGGCAACAATCTCTGAAAGCTTGCAAAGCTCCCCTTCCATGCTATATATGCCTTCCACCACAACAATTATCTTAGTCCACCGTCTATGATTTCGGCCCTGTCCCTCAGCAATGTTCTCTCGTAAAACTCTCTCCAAATGCGATGGTTCTAGAGAAAGAAGGGAATGAGAAATTATACCTTCTTTTCCAAATCATATTTGTACTAACAAGGAGAAAGGACAGTACATTCTTAAAAACTTACTATTATGTTGAAAAACACAAATAGTCGCTCCAGATCCTCTAGCTCCATTGACAATAGAGCTGTGATTTAGAGAATCACTAATAATCAAACCTCCCTGCAATGACCTTAGCTATTTGAAGCTACAAAAATGAAAATGATAACTTAAACACAATGATACAGATAGTAACGGCTATGTACCTCTCCTATCAAGACAGGAAGCACAGCTGAGTTTGTTACGTAACCCATGCCAAAAACAATAGCAGCTGGTTTTCCAACAAATTTAGCCACATGCTCCTCTAATTCAGTATGTATTATTGTGGTTCCTGTTTTAGCAAATAATGACCTTTATGAAGAAGGTTCCCCTCCCTACTCTAAAAAGATTCACATGAGAAACTTGCCTACCTCCATCAACTCGGCTACTACAAGTGCTTGCGGAAAAAATTTTCAAACACTCAATTGTCCGAGGAGAACAATATTCATCAAATGCAGCAAAACCAAGATAATTATATGATCCCAAGTTGAGGCACCTAGACACATTTTTCGTCCGCCTGCACAATTTGAGTTTCTTTTGATTGAGAAAATGAAAAAAAAAGTATTTAAGTACGTACTTTACCTCTAAAATACATGTCTTTTATAAAGGAAAAGGCTCCCAAATAGCTCATATTTACCCTTAAATTATATTTCGACTCAAAACCACTCTTTCCGTCAAACTATTTGTTCAAAGCTACCCCTCTTATTAAAGAAAGTTGCGAAATGTCATGTGAATGTCATATTGAATACCAATACTAATTAATCTTTTTTCCCACTACCACATAGACTAAATCCCTAAATACTCATTACTTTTTTTTTCCCTCATTTCATTATTTTCAAGAACTATTTCACCCCTTCCCCCTCATTGAAGTTGCGTTTTTTTTCAGATGTTTATTTTCAGTTTTTACTTAATGTTCGGTAATGCGTTTCGTCATTAGTTCTTAGTTTATGTCCAGTTTTTGTGAAGTTTATTTTCAGTTTTTGTGAAGTTATTTCTAGTTTCTCTATTTCTTCATTAGTTCTTTACTTAGTTTATTTCCAGCTATTGACCAACTCTGCTGGTTTTTAACAAACAGTAAGCTAGTGGGTGTTTTGTATTTGGAGTAGTGTGTTTTGTGCTCAACATGTTCTGTATGGAAGTTCAAAAATTTTCTTCCACTGTTAATGTCCTCATTTGCAAATTAATTTATGAAGCTACGATTGTTGGTGTTCTATTGCTTAATGCTTTCATGTTACCGGTGATAAAGTTTACCTATTCAATAACATACTTGAAGGGGTGAAATTGTTTCTCGAAAATTAATGAAATGAGGTGGAGGTGGGGGGGGGGGGGGGTGAGAGTAATTATATTTAGGGATTTAGTCTATTTGGTAGTGAAAAAAAAGTAATTAGTAATTGACATGCAATGTGGCATCCACGTGGCATTTAGCAACTTCCGTTAATAAGAAATATACTTTTGACCCAATAGTTTGACGGGAATAGTAGTTTTGAACCAAAATATAGTTTAAGAATATATAAGCTATTTTGGATAGTTTAAGAATATTTTTAACCTTTTTCCATTTATAAAAAATAATTGGGACACGTTAGAGATAGTTAAAGTAAATTATGAATTGAAACAAGTTTCCAATACTCACTTTTGTATCTTGTTGTTATCATCGGTCACACGCTTCACCACATCAAACCAAGCATCTGGAGAACTACATATTGGCCGTTCAAAACAGTCCTACAAAAGTAAAAATTAATTGACCAAAATTAGAAACTAATCATAGTTATGCTTAGTGCAAGTATTTTTATGTTTCTCATTGAAATAAATGTCTGTAGCTCTAGAAGATAGACCCCCTCCAAGAACATGGCCACATCAACACACCGGAGCATGGAAACACCACCCCCAAGACGAGACGACCCACCAGGACCACCAGATGAAAACAATAATATGATAGAGAATGTTATATTCTGTTATTTTAATGAATAAACAAACTATGGAATATGGTAGAGGGATCTTATTCCTCGAGTGGTACTTGTCCAGACCGAGTCAAGGGAGCACATCTGTAAAGTTGCCATTCCTTTTGTAGTAGGTGGGCACGACAGCTTAGGCGCAGAGCTCTCAGCCAATTAAAGTTTACTAGGTTGTTTTTGTCCATCCTATATTAGACATTTCTACAAGAAACAACCTAGTTCTGTCATAACAAGAATATTCAAAGCAAAAGATATTCTATCATGAAAGAACAAGCTTATATGAACATCAAGGGACCTGATCGACTAATTTACAGAAAGTCTGGAGTTGTATGTTGAGAGTTGTGGCTTGTGCTAAGACATTGTAAAATCTATTTGCATTCTATAAAGGAACATAGATCATTTCAATTTGTAATATCTGTAAAGTCAAGCTCATGGCTAGAGTTAGTTGTGGTGTGTGTTTAACTGGAGATAGTTAATTTAGTGGATAATAAAGTTATTTTTTTGAGTTAATATAGTGCGTAATAAAGTTATTTTTTTGAGTCTTGTAATAGAAGTGTTACAAGGTGTGGGGTCAAGAGTTTAATCATTGGTGATTACCGAAGGTTGTATTCATATGTTAAATGAAGTTTTAGTAATGTTGTTGAGAAATCTTGTGTAACTCGTTGTAATTTTCTTCTCGCTTAAGCAAAAAAGATTTCCATGTAAACATTCTTAATCTCTATGTTCAACTTTACTGTTCTTATCACTATTTGTCCCTTGACTTGTGGTGGATTCATATAAGCCAATAATTTGTATTAGAGCTTGAAATCTCAATATCGACAATACCTAGAGAGGATCATTCCCAAATGAGTGCTCCACAAAACATAAAAGAAACACATTCTGCCACCAGACCCCCAAATCAATGGCCAGTAGTACTATTGTTAGAGAAAGACTAGATTGCATGATTTTATCATGGCTGAAGATTGAGAACTTCTGTACATCATTTGGGATGGACCTCATGTTCCTATGAATGAAGTAAAGGAAGGAAACATAACTTTACTTGTTTCTAAGTCTCTGAAGGAGTATAATAAGGTTCATAGGAAAAAGATAGCAAAAAAGTATAAGGAAAACAAAGAGTTAATATCTTAAAAAGGTACTCAATTTATGAATTAATCTAACAAGTAATTAAGTTATTAAACTTTGTTTTGTACCAATAAAATCACTCAATTAAAAAAAATTATCAATAAATCACTCAACTAAATTTATCATTATAAAAATAAAATTAACATAAAAAATAAATTATTATATCATGATCTTAACTAGAATAATAAATAAATACCTTAAAATTACTATTCAAAAGATAAATGACAATATATTCTTTCATAATTTTTTTTTTCTTCGTCATCATTGTCAATGAGAACCCCAAACCAATTACTCACTATGAGATGAAAACAATAATTTTAATTATTTTTCTTGTATTCACATTGCCATTAGTACACGTACAAAGTCTGAGACGTTTGATGGACTAAATGAGAGAAAAATTTAAAGCAACTGTGATGCAGTGTGTTTTGTTCGAGTATCTTTAATTCCTACAGAGAAGTATTAGTAAGCGAGAATTTTTTCAAAAAGATGTATTTAAATTTAAAGTGAAAACAAGTATTTGAAAGTTAAATTTGTATTTTAATATTTCAAAATTGTCATTCATCTTTATTATTTTATTTAATAATGAAATAGTAATTTTGAGCTATTTCTTTATAATTTTAATCGTAATGTATCTGACATAAAAATAATTTATTTTGTTATGTCAATTGAGTGATTTATTGATATAAAAGTTTAAGATAAGTGATTTTATTGATACAAAGTATAGTTTAATGACTTTGTTAGACAATTTTCTAAAATTGAGTGACCTTTTGAGATATTAACTCGAATCCTGGTATGTGGCATAGGGTCAAATGAATACAACCGAATTTTAACTTGTGAGTATGCCAAGGAGATCTGGAATGTTTTAAAACGGCTCATGAAGGAACAAGTCATGTGAAAGAAAGGGTCTAAAATAGATATGCTTACCACCCCAATATGAGAAATTTAGTATGAAGGAAACCATCCAGGATATGAATACCAGGTTCACCTCAATTACTAATGAGTCAAATTGTCCAGGTGGGACTATTTATCCAATCAAAGCAGGTATGAAAGATTCTCAAGATCCATTCCAAGTCCTGGGAAGGCAAAGTTGATGGCATTATAGAATCTAGGGATGTGAAGAGTCTTACCATGTATGCGTTGATCGAAACTTGAAAATCCACAAGCTAAACAAAAAAAAAGATCACTCCCAAAAAGATCATAAGAAGGAAAAGACCTTGACTCTCAAGGATTCCCAAGGTGAACTTAGTTTAGAAGATGAAGACATGGCATACTTTGCTTGAATATTTCACAAAGTTTTGAGAAAAAAAATGATGAGAATATGAAAAATGGAAGCTTGAAAATGATTTGTGTCACAAGTGTGGGAAACTAGGGAATTACATCATATATTTTCCTATGTATAAGATGAAGTACAAAGATTTTAACCTGGAGGTGATAAAGAAAAATGAAGGAACAAGGTCCCTAACAAATTAAAAAGGAGAGTTGGAAGTAACTATGTTGTCAAAAGATCTCTTGCTGCATGGGGAGACATATCGAGTAACTCTGATGAACCTAAGCACCAAGGTCAAGGATGCTTTCATAAAATTATAGTAAAGGTTGATAAAGTTGTTTTTGACTCTTTGGATACTCTTATGCCAAATCAATTGATGATGGAGATGACGGGGTAGCGCTTCTTGATATTAAACAATATATGAACGTCTACTCCATTAAGAAATTAAAAAAATTTAGGTAGTGTTCTATCTGATTGATTCACTTTATGAATTGACTGCTTAGATGGACTTTTTAAATACAATCCAAACATCTATCAAAATGAGAAAATTGCTCTGGATACTCTGATCTCTGAAAGTAAAGAAAGATTTGCATCTCTAGATGTTGAAAACTGCGATCTCAAGAAGACGCTAAAGAGAATCCCTAATCTAATTCTGTACAAAAGAATGAAGCTAGTAGGTTGCAGCTGGAACTTAAGGATAACCTAAAACAAATTTAGTTGAAGTTGGTCATGTCTCTAGAGAGAGGAACTTGGTCTGCGTTAAGGAAGAACTGAACAAATCTTATAAGTGGACCATCTCCTCTAAAAAGTTAGCAAATCTCACTAGTCAGGATGCAACAACGGAAAGAGTCTGGGATGTTTAAAAAAGTTAGGTCATCCTTATAATCCTCACAACAAATAAGTCTATGATAATTTGTTGTGCATCCATTGAGGTCGCAAAAGGTAGTCCCATTACCCACTAGCTAGTCCATGTTTTATATCTACTCGCATCACTACAATTGGGAATACTGCAAAGGAATAATACAAAAGTATGTCATTTAATTTGGTCTTAGTTGAAATTTATATTCATCCAATGTTAAGTGTGCATAATTAGACACCTAAACATGTATAAAACTGAACAAGTTGATGTTGTGATATTTATTATTAACCATATGTTTAGATATAATATTTATTATAGAATCATTATATATTAAGTTTTAATAGATCATATATTCATTTATGATGTCTCTTTACTTATATAGTAGATGGTTTAGTGTATAGAGTTTTAGCGTATACACAATGATTAAATTATTGGTTCTTATAAATATAAAGTTTTTTTTTCACAATCTAAGATAAAAAATTGGATTTTCTTGTAGCACAAGATTATACGTAATTTATCTTGATTATGAGAATAGTTTAGTTTCAACTTCTTCTTTTAGTGCATTTTGTATATATTGAACGAGATCGAGTCGAGATAGTTGTTTAGATTGATAGACATGCATATTCTCTAAATTGTTAAATGTACTTATATTCTTAATCGTGATATAACTAGTATGATTATATATGTTAATTATGGTTTTGATTTATTAAAATGTGAGATTCTTATAGGAGTCAATATATCTGGTAGATTAGATGACAATAATATATATTGGTGAAATAATAAGTTAATTGATGGAATTCATGTCTCGATATAGAGATTGATAATATGCCTTTTTGAGATGTTTGAAAGTTTTCATCGTTTCAAATCTTACAAGTGTATTTATGAATCCGAAACATTAAATAAGTTAAGCAGTTCTATAAAGTAAATTAATATTTGAAATTAATTTGTGAATAATTTAATTAATTGATTAGTATCTAGATTTTAACATGGAGATTACATAAGTTTTTAATGAAAAACTCTGAAATATATATAGAGGAGCGTCATTACGAATGTATAGTGAAATGAATTGTAATTATTATGGTAAGAATAGTTTAAATTAATTATTTGAAATTATTTTCATAATAAGAAACCTCAGTGATTAATTTGGTGGTCCATAGAGTGTTCATATTTAACCAGAACTCACAATCTTATTTTCTAGGAAAAAGGAACAAAGAACTTACTTTCTGATTCTTGGAAAGCAGTGTCTTATTGTTCTCCTTTTTGGACCGGGAATAATTCTATATAAATTTGAGTTCTTCTAACCTAGAAAGACAATCAGTTTTCTATATAATACTTCCCCACCCAAGTATTTGAGAGATTTGAACTAGATCAGAGAATTGTTGTCTAACTTGTGGAATCTCTTGAAAGTCTGTCTAACTTGTGGATTCGCTTGAAGATATGTACTCACGCTTCAAAAAGTAATTTCTAAATTAAATTTAAGAAAAAATTTTATGTGTTCTAGCAAGATTTTATGTGTTCTAACATAAATGTATTTGTTATGTATTATTCATGTAAGCAATATGATTCTAATATGCTTCAGTTGTGCATATAGTATTCCAAAACAGATGCATGTGTCCTACCAGACATATCACACATAGGATGCCATATAGGACGTCATTCAGAATTGGGCACGTGTTTACTTGTTTAAATTTTAAACAACTTAAGTATTTACTTGTGCATATCCAAAATTATGAAACATAAATATGAATTGAAATATTTAAATACTATGGCTAGTATAGATACGGGATGAGGTAGTGAGTTTAGCAGACGTCCATATATGTAATAATATTAGATATTCGTTGCATTGGCAACATAGTATTTTGATGAGCTTCAGCTAATAGATCGATGACTAGTAATCTTTGATTGTCCTTATAATTATAGTTTGAATATAATGTCCCGATAATATAACATTATATAGTTATATATAGATTCTAATTTCATCAGCTCATTGGATTACTTAATATTATTGTCATTTATCACATATTAGTAACTATAATGTCCTTTTCATGTTACAACTCATATATTGAACAAAGTACATTCCCTTTGATTTTCATTTAATTAATAATAATATAAAGTAAATTAGTCTATGGGTCATAAAATAGGTAGGTTAATTAAGGAGGATTAGGAGAAGTGAAGTTACCTCAATGCGATTATACAATCGCATAATGAAATTTTCGCTGATGGCTGAATATCCCTGCAAATATCGTAATAATTACTCCCCCCCCCCCCCCCTTTTTTTTTTAAAAAAAAAGGTTGATTCAAATAATTTATCATTTTAGATGTTGATGATGATAAGATGAGATTATTGTACGTTGATGAAGAGTAGTACAAACAAATTAATTAGGAAGGAGAAAGAAAGAAAACCTGAAGATTAGTAAAATGAGAGCAGATATGACGAAGTTTGTCAAAGGCGATGATAATGGCACAGCTGAAGTAGGTCGTGAAAGTGATGAAGAAATCTGGCACCATTTCTTCAACTAACTAAGGATCGGAGGAGCAAATGCAAAGTTATCAAACCTGCATATATATATATATATATATATATATATATATATACACACACACAATTTCTGCCCATATAAGTGAATGGAATAATTTTGCTCATATTAAATTAAATGGATCACTCATTTCTTTTCATTTTCTTAAATGGGTTAATATGGTCTTTAACCTATTTAAGCTCATACAAATATAAACAAAATGGGTAAGCATGGGAATCCATATTCAACCCATATAAGTGAGAAATCAAACAATTTTTTTTTAAAAAAAATAAAAAAATTGGAGTCGGTTGGTGAAATATGGAAGCTGCAAGTTGGGGGTGGGGGATTTGCTCGTGGAAAAGGGAACTTTTTTAGTTTTTTTTTTTTTAAAAAAATGAAATTTTTTAATTTTTGAAAAACAAAAATTTGATTTTTTTTTGGAGGGGGGGAGGCGATAAAAAAAATTATTATTGAAAAACAAAATATTTTAGGAATAAGTTGGTGGAGGGGTTGCCGGGGGTGCTCGAAGAGCGGGGAAATGTTTTTTTTTTTCTTTTCAAAAAACTGATTTTTCTTTTATTTTATCAAAAGTTTTTTTAGGGTGAGGTTGGTGGAAGATCGGAGGGGGGTGGCCCGGAAGAGGGGATAATTTTCTTTTTCAATAAACATATTTTTTTGTATTTTATGAAAATAATTTTTTTTTAGAAATAGGTTGATGGAAGGCCGGGAAGGGGCGTTCAAGGAGTGGGGGTGCCTATAGGGAGAGATAAATTTATTTTTTGAAAAATAAATTTCTTTAAATAAATTAGAACTATTTTGCTCAAATTCATATTTGCCCATTAGATATTTAGATGGATTATGATCCAAACTATTTTTTAATTCATATTCGATGCATCCAACTTTAATCAAATCCAATTATTTGCCACCAGGTATATATAGTTGACTTTGTTTTAATACCCACATTTTACTCTTTTGCGCATCACTACTGACAACTCATTTTATTATTATTAATAATAATTAATAGGCATGCATATCCTATGTTAAGCAACAACAACCATGCATTAATTTAAGGGAATTACAGTTCAGCTACCTCTCTTAGTTTTTTCTTCTCAACTACGTTATTTTGCTGGACCCAGAAGGCATATTTCAGCTCCCCCTTTTCGTGCACATGCATCTTTGTTTTATTTAAAGTTTAAAGGTTAATATTTTATTATATTAATAAATATCACAGTTATAAATTTAATTAAATTAATGAATTTTAGAAAATTATTTTTTACATTTGCTACGAATGAATTACAAAATTAGTTTGATATTATCAATATCATCAATTTCGTCTTATATTTTTATTGAAATATAAGTCTCCTAATTAATGGCTTTTGAAAACAAGTTTTTGCAATTTCCGTATTTATTTTCCTCTCGGGATATATATACATTATGAAGAAGAATTTTAATTACTCGGACACATTTTAGTTTCTTCTTTGCCTTCTCTTTCTTATTAATTTATTGGACAGATTCTAGTAAGAATTCGATTTTACCTATGGGTGGGCAATGATATGAGCATGTTACCGTGCTTTACCATATATTCCGTACAAATTTTGATATTTAACAATATAATATATTCTTGATATCAAATTATAAAAATTTAAAATGATCTTAGTTAATATCAAATTTTGCTTGAAATATATTATGATATTCACTGAATTTCGAGAGTTCTTTTTTTATAATTAGTTGAATTAATTATGATTATGATATTTGTTAATATAATATAATCTTAACCTTTAAATTTTAAATAACACATATGTCTCTTATTTAGACGTGCACTTGACGAAATGGAGGTGAGCGGAATCTCAAAATTATCATCTTTTGAATTAATTTTATTTTCCTTCCTCTTTTCATAAAAAAATTGTGGACCAAATTAAACTATCCAAACCTAATTCACTTTATATGAATTTAGAGATTTTTTATTTAACTTTTGGTTCTCCACGCTTAAGTTCCGTAGTAGGAACTAAGTTATGCCGCATAATTAAGTTGTCTAATATTTCAAGAATTTATCTTAGTGTTCATAAATTTAAGTTGTTTTCTGGAGCCTATATTCGTTATTTGTTTTAGAGATTTGTATTTTGATAGTTATTGAGGGATGATAGAGTATATCTATAGATTATTTTCTAAAAAATAAAATAAAAAAGTATGCCCTCAAAACATACTACATTAGTGGTACAATATTATGAAAAAAAAACTTATGCATGTGAAAAAAAATTGTAACTTAGAGTTAGATGTTACGAGCATTTTTGTCCATTCTTTTTTACTTTAAAAAATTGAAAGGGTAAGAATTAACACCATCAAATTTAGGGGTAGAAATGAAAGATCACCAAAAAATAGAGGTGATTGACCCCAATTATGCCTTAAAACTAAATTAAATAAGAGAACATCAAACGTATTTAATGAAATTTATATGTAGTCTGTTTATAGTTATTCATCTAGTTTTTTGAAAGGAGAATGAAATTGCCGCAAATTCTTGTGGCTAATATTTACGGTATTTTTTTAAAATATTATTCTTATAGATCATGCAGAATGAAAATGTCTTTTAACGGGTAAAAAAAGAATTTTTACGGAGAAATAAAAATCAAGAATAAAAGGAGATAAATGTATTATTTAGCGAGAAATAAAAACTTGTCATAATTCGCTTCTTCATCTGTAAAACTTTAATCAAATTTCGGAAACAAACTCTAAAGTTCCAAAATAAGTTGTATAAATATTGTTTGGAGAAGAAAGATAAAATTATGGCACATGTTTTTCTAACAGCTCCCAGAGGCCAGAGCCAACAGATTTTGGAGGCAGTTTACTCATATTGTTAAAGGTATAAACACGAACGACATGTATTTATAACAATTCATAATAACCTGGTGGAAGCACAATGAAAATGCCAAGTTGAAGGTGCATGGTTTAGAGAGCAATGACATCAATCATTAGGTGGACACTATGGAAACGGAGGAACAATTTGAATCATGGAAGAGTCACCATATAGAATGAAATGGTGATGCAACTGCAAGAAGAAGTGAGGAAACTCATTAAAGTAAAGTACCCTTGGTTACAAATTTGTCATACACCCTAAAACTTAGCTATGATGGGACCTACCGTAACCCACCAATAAGTTTAAAAAAATTATATTCCAAAACGACAAGTAACATGCATATTAGGTAGAAATAATGAATCATTTATCGACTCAAATAAATCCAAGAACAAGAAAAAAAAAGGCACACTCTCAAGTGACACTGTAGACACTAATATTTGCGGCGAAAAAATAATGAAAAACGGAAATTATAGTAATAATTATTTTATTATTTCTAGTGTTAGTATTACAATCTCTATGATTACTTGAATTCGTCATTTCAAATATAATTCAAGGGCTATTGAGCATGATCTTGGACTTAAACTTAAACTTTATCTAGATCTTGACTTTTATTTGAATTAAATGGCTTCTAGCTTATTCTTCAATTCGATGGTCAGCTTTATAGAGAATTAAATCACGTTTGTACCACAAATTTTCTCTAGCTTCTTGTTTAAAATTTTCTGTCCCTTTTCTGAATTATGAGGAACCCTATTTATTGTTTTAGAATAGGGGAGCTGCAATTGGAACATGATTCCTTTCGGCCAATTAGATTTAAGTGACATGACATATGGGCTTTGTGGAGCGGGCTTAACATCTTTGACACATATCATGATTCTATTGGTTTCTTATTTGACTTGACATACCACATGATTTGCCCACGTGGCGCCAAAATGGCCTCTAGAATGAGATGAAATTTGGCTTAACAAATTGGGCTCATCCATTGTAGCCCAAATCAATTAATTTAGACTTTAACTAAGTTCATATGGACTTATATATTTAAGTCCATAATATTATTTGTATATATACATTTATGGATTTGATATAATCCGAATCATTTTATAAATTTATATTTCAAATGATTACAAATGCCCCCTCTCTTAAAGTCGTGTCGATATATTTTTATCTTTTAGAGACTAGGCTTGAAGCATTAACCGATTACCAAATTCATCTTGAGTCAAATAAAATAGATTATGTAATTTATTTGTTTAACACTTCACCGATTACTTGGAAGATTCCAATCAATAGTAGAAGATATATATACATATACTGCCATAACTTCCAACATAGGCATATACTTCGGCGGTCTTTTGAACGGAGAGAGTTAATTTAAGAGCCCACATTTTACTTTTTCTTATTTTTTTCCTAAGATAGGATTTTCACTGCTTTAAACTAAAAGACGTTTCCGCCTTGAAAAAAAATAATACTCTCAAGGTGTTACAAGGTCCCGAATGCCTAACAAACTTGAGGCTTTACTAGAATACCGTATAACGTTCCCTCCTTAAAAAAATAATACTCTCAAGGTATTACAAGGTCTCGAATGCTTAACAAACTTGAGGCTTTACTAGAATATCATGTAATGTTCCCTCCTTAAAAAAATACTCTCAAGGTGTTATAAGGTCCCGAATGCCTAACAAACTTGAGGCTTTACTAGAATACCGTGTAACGTTCCTGGCTTGAAAAAAATAATACTCTCAAGGTGTTACAAGGTCCCAAATGTTTAACCAACTTGAGGCTTTACTAGAATATCGTTTAATGTTCCCGCCTTGAAAAAAATACTCTCAAGGTATTACAAGGTCCCGAATGCTTAACCAACTTAAGGATTTACTAGAATATCGTGTAACGTTCCCGACTTTAAAAAAAGTAATACTCTCAAGGTGTTAGAAGGTCTTGAATACTTAACCAACTTGAGGCAAGATAAACCCGTGAAAAGACCAATTTAAGATGCAAAGGGACAAATATTGTCCACCTTAAGGCTTGGAAATGTAAAGATTCTTTTGCGTACTAACTCCTGAAAAGGCCAGCTTAAGGTGCAAAGGGACAAATCTTGTCCACCTTAAGACATGGAAATTTAAAGATCCTTTTAAGGATAAATCCGTGGAAAGTCTAGCTTAAGGTGCAAAAGGACAAGTTTGTCCACCTTAAGGCATAGAAATTAAGATTCGTTGAAGGATAAATCCGCGACAAGGCTAGCTTAAGATGCAAAGGGACAAATATTGTCCATCTTAAGGCATGAAAATTTAAAGATTCTTTTAAGTATAAACCCGTGAAAAAGCCATCTTAAGGTGCAAAGGGACAAATCTTTGTCCACCTTAAGGCATGAAAATTTAAAGATATTTTTAAGTATGAACTCGTGAAAAGGTCAGCTTAAGGTGCAAAGGGACAAATCTTGGCCGCCTTAAGGCATGAAAATTTCAAGATCCTTTTAAGTGTAAACCCATGAAATGTCCAGTTTAAGGTGCAAAGGAACAAATCTTTTCCACCTTAAGGCATGAAAAATTAAAGATCCTTTTAAGGATAAATCCGTGGAAAGTCTAGCTTAAGGAGCAAAGGGACAAGTTTGTCCATCTAAAGGCATAGAAATTTAAAGATTTATTGAAGGATAAATCAGCAATAAGGCTAGCTTAAGGTGCAAAGAGACAAACCTCGCGCACCATAAGGCATGAAATTCAATGACATGCACATTTGGAGGATTTGGAGACTTCAACTTACATACTTAAAGTCTTACTTTCATACTTAAAGGATTTGAATACTTCAACTTGTATACTTAGAGGATTCTAATACTTTAACTAATAAACCTGAAGAATTTAAAGGCTCCAATTTGCATACTTGACCTAATTTAAAGACTTCAAGCGTACTGTTAAGAGACCCATATTTTATAGGGGTTTGTCCCTTTCATTGACCCATTTATACTTCGTACAAGTCTAAAGTTTGATGAGACAAAATATAATATAAAATATAAATCGCTTTGATTATCGTGTGACAGATCAAGTGGGAACATTTGATTTTTTGACACTCATGCAACTGAACTTAGAATATGGTTCTAAGCGCCTACGTACCTCAATGAAGAGGATGAAGTCCCAGTTTAGTTCTATGGGATTGAGTGATTTTTTTGTGCCTTACATAGTTTATACTCTTGCGGGCCAAGAGTGACATGTAGTTTAGGCTTGTAACTTAAGGAGAACCTTTTTACTCAAGGTTAGTACCTCTTTATGAATTT